TTTAAATGTATTATCTTCAAAAATTTGAGTCTGGCAAGATTGTTTAGTGGGAAAGAGCTTTTGTCAAACATGAGGTTCATCCTGAGTTTGATTCCTGGACCCACATTATAGAGAGGGAGAATCGAGCCCAAAAAGTTATCTTCTGACCTCCACATACATACCATAGCACATACATTCTCACATTGTATACACACACACACACACACACACACACACACAAATAGTTTGGAGTGTGTGTATTTAAAATACCTTGAGAGTGTTAGAGAAGGGCGCCCAACATCCCTCTGTGGTCTCTGCAGGCATGCATATATGGGTGTATGTACCTGCACATACACATGTACACACCTGCACACACCACACATACATGTGCACACACGTATGTGTGCACATAAAAAACTGTAAAGGAAAAACAACTTACCTACAGAAGCAAACACAACAGAACCCTCTCAACAGGAACCCTAACATTCATCAAAGCAGGAAATGGTATCTTTCAATCCCTGAAAGTAAATAACTGCCAACCCAAATTGCTATATCTAGCAAAGTTAGCCTTTAAATTTGATAGTTAATGATGACATGTTAAGAAAAGCACAAACTAAGGCAGTTCATGACTACCAAACAAGCACTGCAGAAGATAGGGGAATACTATGCACAGAGGAGGAAGGAACATAGTCTCCCTCATGAGAACATAGAAGCAGATGAACAGAAGGAGCTAGCAGGGAGCCCATCATGTGCAACACAGGGCAGCAGCAAACCCCTCCTGACAACAGAGACGAGAAAACAACACACAATAAACCAGCCAAAAACAACCAATGAAGCTACAGGCAGAAAAACTCTCTCAATAATGATCTTAAATGTAGATAACCTCAACTCACCAATTTAAAAATTGCAACCTAGCTGACCTGACTAATCAGCACATTCCAGCTGCTTTTCAGTTTCAAGCTAACAGGAAAGGAGCTTCAAAGGACTTCCAGGTAAAATGGCAGATTAAAATCCCCACTGATGAGGCACAGTGAGAGACAGCAGCCAAGATAAGACACAATCATCTTTATTCTTGCAAGAGACAATAGCTGCAAACAAATTCATCAAGCCAGGTGAGATTCTGCAGACAGGATCAGCTGCCAGTGGGTGCCCAGCTACACCAAGCAGCTCCAGTGAGGTCAGTGGAAATCACTAGACAAGTGCTTTCCCTGGCCCTATAGAAACAGTGAGGTGGACTAAAGGCTGGATACTAATTGGTGGTGAGGCCTGGGAAGTTAAGCCTTTGAAGCAAAGTGTGAGGCTTGGTTGAGATCTGTGTGAACAGCCAGGCCATGACTTACCATGTCTCTTTCCTCTCCTCACCACACTGGCACTGTGCAACAGTTCAGTAAGAGCTGCTACAGAGCCAGGAGCCAGGCAAAACCAAGGTGCCCTACCCAGTTCTCTGGGCAGAGAACCCAAGAATCAGTCCTGACTATGGAAGCCGGGGTTGTGGTGAGTGAGACACGGTGAGACTGAGGCAGTCTCCCTGCCAAAGGTTTTGCTCAGGTCAGCAAGGGCTCCCTACCTTTTTTCTCCCATAGCTGAGCTGAATAGAGCATACAGGAGGGAACCGAGACCTGCACCACTCAGTGCACTTGTGCCAGAAACTCAGTCTAAAAGATAGCTGGTCTAAACTCCACTGGGGTGATACACACTCCAAATCTCCTTTAATGGTTTTGATTTGGAATTGCATCATTTCCCCTCCCATCCCCACCCAGCCCTCACCCACATCAGTAAAGTTTGCTAGAGAAACATTACAGGGAGAGAAAGAATTCAAAACCCATCTGTCCTAGTTTGTTTCTTCATTGCTGTGGCAAAGCACTCTGACTACCAACTTGGGGAGGAAAGGGTTTATTTTTCTTACATCTCCCGGGTCACAGTTCATCAGGGAGCCCAAAGTAGGAACTCAGGGCAGGAACCTGGAGGCAGGAGCTGGAGCACAGACCATGGAGGAACGCTGCTTACTGACTTGCTCCCCTGGCCCCTGCTCAGCCTGCTTTCTTATACAACATAGGG